AAACTGGCCTCAGTCCGCGTGGTGACCCTGACGGGGAAATATTTGTCGGCCAGACCTCCATCCCTCTGATGGGAGGAGCTTTTCCAGGGAAGTTAGTAGGGCAAAAAGTCACCAAAGTAACAAGACCCGACTGTCTAGTTAAATGAACTACCAGACTGAAGCTATTTCTATCAGTGCAAAGATAATCTTTGGCATTAAACAGGCATTCCAAAGCTCCTCAATTGATTTCGAAAATCTACAGTCCTGCAAATGAGTTCAAGTTCATGGGGCAAAACGGTTATTGGTGGGGAAAACGGCAAGTTGGTGCCCGGTGGGGCAAAGTGATATTGGATGTGACAGTTTCTCCACCCACTGCACCTAAAGACCGTAGGAAGCTCCGCCCCTGCTGATGACTGATGGGGGCTGTGTGACCGTCAGAGCGGGGAGATGCGATCCAAGATGAGCATCAGGATAAGATTATAAGGTGACGGAGGATATGTTTTCCTTACCGGTTTAATTTGGTTTTGGAAGGCATCACATAACGGAACCCTGAATGAATCTTTACATCGTGCTCGTTAGCAGCGCTTGGGAGTTGTGCTAGGTGTCGCCACTGAGGCTGTTCCAGATGTCGCACCCATCGCTCCCGTCTGCTCGGCTGTGTCATTGCTCGTTGATTCTGTAGGTAAACTCTGAACTCTGAAGCCATGGGCGTCGAAACCGGGGGGGACGGGGGGGACGCGTCCCCCCCAGTCGAGGAATCCGGGGGGGACGTCCCCCGCAAAAATATCCCCATGAATGATTTAAAAAGTGACCTACGACATTGGTGTATTGTCGTTTTGGGATGAAATTGCGGATACCTACTCGTATACAAATTGAATCTGCGAATTGCTGACACTGTACCCTTGCTTACAGGGCTGCGGAGTAGATGATTTTGGTAACTCCGACTCCGGCTTAAAAAAAAAAAACGCTCGGAGTCCCAACTCCATCTCCGACCACGGCATCCCTCGGCCCGCATCGGAGTGAAAAAAAAACATGTGATGTGATGCTTTTGTCTCTTTGAACGTTTCTTGGCACATTAAAAGATAACATTGCCTACGAGGTGCAGCTCTGGACTGTCCGTCCCAGGTCCTCGATAGGGAGCCAAAGCTCCAGTTGTAGGGGCGACCATATCCAACAAGGGCTGAAGATCTGTCCCAAAGTCTCAGAGTGCAGTAGGACAACAGCTTGCAGAGACCACCACATTTTACATAGGATATTCGTAATAGTCAAGACCTTCAGCTCACTCTCAAACGGCCCTCTTCCCGTTCGAGGCCATCCGACAGGAGAAGGTCTCACCATGGCCTTTGAACGCTTGATGCTTGAGGGTGAGAGGACCTCGTCCTGGTCTGAGAGAGCCCAGGGGGACGTAATGCTCAGTATGCCCCTACATTGGTCTTACCATGACCCCTACAATCACCACAGCCAACAGAATCTCCAGCTCTTATTCGACCCATCCTCGGGGATGACGTTGACTTCAGAGTTGAAGTCTGTTACGATTTTGGTGACTCCCAACTCCGTATCCGACCAAAACCGTCGACTACGACCGAAGTCGACTCCGACCCCGCAGTCCTGCAGCTACACTGCACAGAAGTTGGAAAAAAGCTGTACCTATGGTTAACAGCGGCTTACAGAGGACCACACGATTTTTTAGAGGCAGGGCTGCTGGACTTGGTGACCAGACCCTAACTGTCCTGGTATCAAACGTGTTACGCGGGATGCAAAATTTATGCGTTTTGGGACTGTTTTGCCAAGAGTTTTTGCCAATTTTCGCGGCGCTTCGCGCCGCCAATTCATGCACAGGTAGAAAGGAGTGTGACTATATAATAACGCCTCCACGCGAGAACATGAGAACATGTGTATTGTGTATGCGTTACAAGTAGTGCATAGGCCTGAAATTGTACGGTAAACTAACTAACTTTTGGGTTTTTAGTCAGCCAATCCGTCCCCCCCAGTCAAAAATCCGTGGCGACGCCCCTGTCTGAAGCATATCAGTCGTTTTCACGACGGGCTACCTCGCCTCGCGAATGCACTCAATTTGACCAAAGCTACACCAAAACTCTTCTTTCAGAATTCAAAAAATTCTTTCAGTGTTTTAATCGAAAATAATGTTTGATAATTTGACAAATGAGGTAGGGGTAGGTATACCTACATGTAAGCATCTGTGCAGCCCAAACTGATAACTTTGAAGAAACACACTACATCTAATTTGACCAAATCTGCACTAAATCTGCACCTAGTATGCACCAACCTGAAATCTGGATCATAGTCCTGTTCCAAAATAGTGAGCACGACAATGCTTCAATGTTTATTGAACGCTCTTATTCAGTCTAAACACAAGCCGCCCGGCGCCCCTCTTAGTTCGTTTTTTTTTCTTATTTGATGGACAGTGGAGAACTTAGTTCTAAAGATCGCCTGTTTCACACGGATAAGGCTTACAACATTTTAGGTACCAGAAACGGTAAACACGTCCTTTATACTGAGTTCGTTTATATTGTTCGTTGCTTACGCTGTTGAAAGAAGAAAACAAGTTCATTTTTCAGATACCTATGGCAATGCTTTCTTGTTATTGACACGGTCAAACCATTTTTCACGATTGATCTTTATTTCGTTAGTCTTGATTTTCAAAGAATCATTTATATCACACTGAATGAACGTGTTAACTCAGCCTGATGATTGTAAAAGTCAAGGTATATTGAATTGTAAAGGCAGCCACCCGTGACAGCTTCTCTCAACTCCAGCCTGTGTGTTTTTTTAAAAGGATTTCTGTCAGATTTCTTTCTTATATATTATTAACGATCTGTAGGACATAACAATTTACAAATCACAAAATACCTATAGGGCTACATCATTGACTTGTACCATATCATCGTGCAACTCAGATGCATCTTTTGCCAACTAGTCCTCATTTTTCAGCATTCTTTCTTTTCTCTTCGGCTCAGAGCCTTTGCAGATTTTCCGGACAAATTATGCTCTACTAAGAAAAAGACTCAGAAAAGCTTAAGAAAAAAAAAACAGATTCCAGGACTATTACATGTTGAACTGCATCATAAATGATAGAATGTGTGTCTTCGTTAGCGTTGAACTAACCCAGCAGAGGTTACTATTATTTTACTTATTTAGGGTGCTAACAGTTCGCAGGACATGACCGGACGAATGCATTAATTTGCCCGGACGAAACATCGTCCTGAATTCATCCATTCTCTGCTCAAATGAACTGGAGCTTGGAGCTGATCTGTTGCACATTGCCACATTTTACATTTATCTACTCCAACAAGCATAAGCGGCGGAACGGGGAGGGCACCGGGGCACAGTGCCTCCCTTTGATTTTGGCATTTTAACCCGCGCCCGGCTGGGGGTCCTGGATTTCCACGCCCTGCTGGGGGGGTGTTTGAACACCCCCCTTCTAACTCGGCTCCTGGGCCACGTAGCGATACGCGGAAGGCAGCGTTCGAAAGAACGTCAAAAATAATGAGGAAATCACTTGGGTCAATTTTTGGTCAGGTCAAAGGTCAGGTCACCAGAGGTCATTGAAGGCAAAATTTCGCCGATTTCCAGGTCGAATGTCGACAATTTCCAAGAAGTCAACGCATAACTCGGGAACCAATAGAGCTACAGCGCCGCGGAAAAGCGCATTCGATAGCCCTATTAACGCCCTTTCTGAGCAATTTTCTCAGATTTGACCTAACGTCAACGGTTTTGCCTGCAGGGGGCAAAAGCTGCAAAAATAGCAGATTTTTTTGGAAACAGTTTTTCTGCAATAACTTTTGACCCAAGCATTGTACGAGCTTACTTTTACCAGCATCGTGTTCCTCTCGTCAAGACGCATCGAATGAACTATAACATGACCTTGAAAGGTCAACCTGAAAATTTGACCTCAGGTCAAGGTCATGACCTGACCTGAAAGGGTCATGTTGCATATCAGTCGATCCGTATCGTCGAGCTGAACACATCTAAGGCGTTTTCATCGCTCTAGCATGCCTCTATCAAAAGTTATTTGCGAAAAACTGTTAGATACCATTCGTGACCTAAGATGGCCTCAGGGCATAAACAGGGGTCACGGACACCATTTTCATGTTCAGTGTGTCTAAACCACTTGTAATTCAGTGTTTGGGAGTGTTTATAATGTCTTTCGTCCAAAAGAGGCGCATTTCAATTTTATCCCATTGACTTATAATGGGGAGATCGCAAAATTGACCTGACCTTAGGTCATCGATATCAAAATTCTGAGATATACATTTTGTACATGCTACTGCTCTTAGCAATCGCTGAAAGTTTCAAAGCGATCGGTCACTCGGTGTAGCTATGGCAGACATTGAAACTTTTTATGAGGTGAGGTCACTTCAAGTGACCTGGTGACCTGACCTTGAATGACCTTGGTCTGAAATTTTCACAACACGTGTAGAATTGATGTATGATAAGGTGGAGCGCCGCCGTTTTTGAGATATTCGCGAAAAACCACAAGGGGGGGTGTTCAAACACCCCCCCCCCCCCCCAGCAGGGCGCGGGTTAACATAAGCCCTATGGGCGTTGCATGGAAAGAATGGGATCAAAAGTCGGCAGTGCCCCCCCCCCCCCTTTATTGAAGGTGTTCCGCCGCTACTGCCAACAAGTCACATAATCCAATAAATCTTCCATGTCTCCAGCAACAAGTCATACAACACAGCAGGTGTCCTCTGTCTGTCTGTCTGTCTGTCTGTCTGTCTGTCTGTCTGTCTGTCTGTCTGTCTGTCTGTCTGTCTGTCTGTCTGTCTCTCTGTCTCTCTGTCTCTCTCTCTCTCTCTCTCTCTCTCTCTCTCTCTCTCTCTCTCTCCCTCTCCCCCTCCCTCTCCCCCTCTCTTTCTCTGTCCCTCTCTCTCTCTCTCCCTCTCCCTCTCCCCCTCTCTCTCTGTCCCTCTCTCTCCCCCCCTCCCCCTCCAGGGACCGTCGGCTGCCCCCCTCTCCAGCGGCGGGGTCATCCCACCTCGGGTCTCGACTCCGTATCCATACGTCCTCGGGCAGTCGGAGGAGGAGGTCGTGCCGCGTCCCGACTTGTGGTCGAGACTCTGGACAGTGAGGATTCACCGCGTCGCATAGGGGAGATGCAGAGAGAGTGGAGAGAGTGGAGAGAGTGAGAGAGGGCGGTGGTTATTATCGAAGCCATTTGGTGATGATACGGGAGTATTGTGAACTGACGGAAGTGGCTCTGATGGAAGGATGAAACTCTGGTGGTGAAACGGATCACGGTCGGTGACGTGGAATTGACTTGACGTCAGGTGACGTTAAACGAAAGCAAGTGACGGAATCTTGGTAACTGACAGAAAAGTGATCACGGGCTGAGACTCATTATAAGAAATTTTAGCAGCATCTGTGGCTGTTGAAAAAAACGACAAATTAAACGCTGAGCCACAAATACACTCCAACTGATTAATTTTGTCAAATCCCTTTCATTTTCATATCCTCCTCTCTTTTTGTCAGAGCATTTACGGGATCATTAGTGACAACTCAACGTCAGTTATGAAAATCTGTTATCTGTTTCGGATGAATGAGATCTCCGACCGCCACTACGCCTTAACATTCATTCAAACGCAACGTGCGTGAAACTTGCCGCGTGTGAACGCTACGACGTGTGAACACTCCAAGAGCGGAATGCCGCGCGTAACAGCACGACTCGTGTGAACATCACCCCAAGATCTCCACGTGTGAGCAATAACACGTGTGAACAGTGTCTCGTACACCACGTGTTGGAAGTCACCACGTGTCATCAGCCATGGAATCCGCATCCGCCGAAGACATGTGCGCGAATGAGACTACAAACATGTTTGGAGGGTTCGAATTCGCCAACTTCTCGTACCCACAGAAGTACGATCCGCTGGACTTCAGTACTGCCGATCTTGTCAAGGTCAGGTCAAGGTCACTGGGCCTGGGAAGGGGGTGGTAGGGGATGGTAGGGAAGGGGGTTTAGAGGCTGGTTAGGGGTGATATTTATGTTTAACCCTCGCCCTGGCAGGGAGGGTCGATGCGACCCCCCCTAAGGTTTTTCGAAGATAGCGTAAAAACGGCGGCGCGCAGCGCCGCCAAATTTGGCACAGCCTATGGGGCAACCTTTTTACATATGACCTGAAAATTTCAGGTCCGAGTGACCTAGGGTCAGGTCACCAGGTCAGAAAAACCGGTACAAGGTCATGGTCAAATTTCAATTTTCTTTTTGCACCTGTCCAACTCACAGTTTTGGACTGATTTCCTTCAAACTTTCAGGACGTGCTAAGTTCACCGAGCTGTATAACATATAGTTCGGGTTTTTTGAGGTCACTGACCTGAGGTCAGTTAGAGGTCATTACGTCGTAATGTTAAGCCTATGGGAAAATACTAAATTCGGAAAATACTGGAGATATCCGCTTCGTTCCATCACTTTTGTGCTTTGAAACCACAGTACTTAACAGCAGGTCACTTAATGCTTCTTTGTTTGGTGTACTTATCCATGGGTCAGGTCAAATGAGGTCAACTGAGGTCAAATGACGTTTTTGCCAATAACTTGGCACATAATGACGCTAGAGCTTAAAAAATGATATCATTGTGTTCCTGGTGATCAGCCGAATCGAATAATATGCGATATGATGCAATTTGGTTAACTTGAACTTAATTTATAAATTTAAGTTTACTTAAAATTTAAGAAAAACTTTAAGTACACTTAAGCAAGCTAAAAAGTATATCAATCGACGCGCCTTGACGTGCAGAGTTCACTGGTGCTTTTCGTTTTGCTCTATCTTAATTAAATCAAAAGTTATAAGCGAAAAACTTTTGACCTGTTTTTTTATTTATTTATTTCACAGTTCGCTACCCATCCACGGACACCGTGGCTATTCCGGGTAGTACGTCAGCAGTACACAAGGTTACACAGGGAGTAGCACACATACCACATTCGGACACAAACCATGCTCCGTTCACTACACGATGCACTATGTGACCTGAGCGCTCAGCAGGTACCGGCGCAGCTCCGACTTGAAGCGGGGCAGGCCTAGCTCACGTGTATCATGGGGCAGTTCATTGAATTCCTTCACGACAGAATACATGAAACGCCGCCGTCCCGACTCAGTGCGAATGGCCGGGGTGTGAAGCTGCTGTACTTGCCTCGTCTGCCGCGAGTGCAGCTCACCACGCGTCACTGTCAGCCCATACAATGTGTCTGGATAGCCTGTCAGCATGATCCGCTTCAGGAGCATAAGGGAGTGATACCGGTACAGGTTGTGCGCAGACAACCACCCCAAGTCCCTAATGACGTCACTGATATGCTCATGCTTCCTTCGACCCGACACAACCCTCGCGCCAAAATTCATCAGCCTCTGGATGCGAGCCATCCGTGTCTGGTCGCAGGAACCATAGACACTAATACAATACCGGATCACCGATACAACCAGCGCCTCCACGATCGTTACAAGCGCCTGCCGCGGCAGGCTATGGCGACAGTGACTCAATCCGACGAGCATGCCGGTACAGCGCCGAACGACATCGTCAACATGTGAAGCGAACGTCATTTGCTGGTCGAAAACCACTCCCAGGTTCTTCAAACTGGGGCAGCCGGTGACGGTAGATCCCATGAAATGAACGGAGATGGTGGGTAGTTGTTTCAGAATTTGTCGTGAGCCAAATACTATGAGTTGAGTTTTGTCTGCGTTAATTTTCATGCCATTTTTGCAGAACCATTTCGAAAGCGAGTCTAAGTTGAGCTCCATCGACCGGACAAGGGCGGCACTGTCACTGGGTCGTCCAAACACTGCCACCTGACAGTCATCGGCGTACTGGACAAGACAGTCACTGTGTGGAAGCGAGTCATGCCTGTGCAGAGGCAGATCGAGCGCATAGACGGAGAACATGAGTGGGCCCAGGGCCGATCCCTGGTAGGTTCCTATCGGGTTCAGTAGCGGCTGTGATATGACTCGTTCGCCATCTGGTGTCTGAATCAGGACTCGCTGGTAGTGGTCTGATGGATAGCTGCTGAACCATCGAGTGTCCACGTTATACAGATGGAGTTTCCAGAGCAGGCGGTCATGCGGAATTACATCAAAACACTTTGACATGTCCAACAAACAGAGAAGTCCGATTTCGCGTCGATCTATGGCTTCTAAAATTCGATCAGAGATAGTGACTAGTGCTGTTTCGGTTGAATGATGTGCCCTAAAGCCGTGCTGGTGAGAAGAGAACAGGTCATGTGAAGTGAAGTATGAAGACAGCTGTTCATAAACTACACGTTCCGTGATCTTAGCGATAGTCGGCAGTATAGATATGGGTCTGTAGTTAGAGGGTTCAGTTGACTTAGAGTTTTTCTGGATCGGATGAACGTAAGTTACTTTCCGCGCCGCTGGTACAGTGTGCGAGGCAAGACTGGAGTTAACAATGTGCGCGACGACATGACACAGCGAGTCCCAACACAACTTCACAAAACGCATGCACAGGCCGTCGTCACCGCCCGCTGTGCTACCGTTCATACTCGCCACGGTGTTAGTCAGACTCTCGGGAGACACCGGAGTCACATCAAACCGACCGGTGGTCACACGCGTCAGACGCACCGGCAGCTCCGGTCCGCTGGAGTCCACCTGGCGGGCTACTCGGGCACCGACACTCACGAAATGCCGGTTCAAAGAGTCCGGGTCGGCACTCGGCGCGACTCTGCTCGGCTGCTTCGCAGCTATCACCGGCTGGACAGAGCGCCACAGAGAGCCTCGGCCGCTTTTTAGCGAAATTTTTACATTTAACCCTCCAAAACCCCCCTAAATATTGACCTAGAGCAACCAAATTTGCACAGGGGCGAGAACTTCAGGGGGCCCACCTACCTACCGAATTTGGTGTTTCTAGGTGCCATAGGAGCCAATCGCGAGGGGGGGTCGCATCGAACCCCCCCCCCCTGCCAGGCCGTGTTATGAAAAATGCCCTGCCAGGGCGAGGGTTAAGTGGTATGCAACTCCTGGGAATTCGGAAGTAAATGTTCAATTAAGATCGATATTACAATTCATAGGATGCTCAACACTGCCTTACGATTTTCTGACATGCTACTTTTAGCACAAACATTGCTTCCAATTTTGCTTAAAAAAGTTTATTTTCTTTATTTGAAACTATCTACTTTCTACTTAAAGGAAGGGTGCCACCTTTTGGACACAACGCAGTTTTTACAAGATTAGCCTCACATGAACCTAAAAACCGGCTTCACTTACCTATGCTCGAGACGGTCAGCATTGAATCCGCACGTGAAGTTATCATTTGCGAGTTTTGCTGCCAGCATTCGGGCAGGCAAAAATCTTCAGCACTATTTCCTCGTCGTGTTAAGGGTATTTTATAAAACATGAAATCAGCAAAGGTATGTATAAAAGTTATACTTTTGAAGCATGTTTTATCATTTTGAAAGGGTATATTTTTTCTTTATGGTATACACTTAAGTTTTAAAATTTTAATTGGGAAGTTTTTCTAGTAAGTTGCATGAAGGGTGAAGGGTTCCATAGATCTCTTAAACATTGTAAAGGAAAACCCTTTACTCGACTTATTTGATGTATTTATTTGATGTATTTATTTATTATTATTATTATTATTTGATGTATTTATTTGATGTATTTTATTGATGTATTTATTTGATTTGATTTTTGTCTCAGTTGCGCCATCAATGCAAATGGCAGAATGATATGTTGCCATGACAACAGGATATGCCAGCCGTCCTAGCTGCCACATCAAACGACCTTGAGTTGTAGTGGTGATATAAACAACGATCTTTTTTTTGGCCAATGTATTAAATGCAATGTTTCGGTTTTTTGTATATTGTGGACGCGCTAACCACGTCTAAAAATTCAAATAAGTAAAATAGATTCATAGAACAAAAATTTCGGAAGGTGGCACCCTTCCTTTAATTATTTCTTGTCTTTCTTTTTGACATGAAAATACCACCGTTTGTTTTGCATGTTTTTGTGAAGTTTCAACTGACTAATGCTGAAAAAGCTTTACAAATGAGTTCTCCTTAATCTAACTATAACTCGTGCCACTTCGCCCTGACATGTTTTTCGTTTCCTGCAATATCAGCTCCACTTTATGAATTTGTGACGTCAGAGTTATGGATTAGTGACGTCAGCAATGCAAACATTGGATGCATATGGCATAATGCATATGGATGAGGCGTCTGCGAAATTTGATTACCGAACCTCGGCGGCTGCACTTCGGTGATGAGACGAAATTTAATATTTACTGAAATTCCAAACCAAATCATGCCAATATTCCAGTATTCCAGTAATCCACAACAGGACGGGATTGTTAATGAATGGGTACATGAGCCGGCAATGATGAGGATTACAATTCCAAGGATTATTGGTAGGCAGAAGTTCGTAAAAATCAGTTTTCGCTTTGTGTGACTGGATAAATTTTGTGAACTTGATACAAATTTAGGAGTTGCAGTTTTGAGGGGCCGAGGTGTGTAGGTATTGCAGTTTTTTACATACTCCTATGCAAGATTGTGTTTTACTAATTAAATGCTAAATAGTGTCAATGTCCAAAACAATTACGACTAGCATTCAGATCACCTTTGCTCCAACTCTTATGATTTTTATCACTACCAAATTCTGCGTAATTTACATCACAACGATTAGTTTCCTCCTAGAATTATGATCATGCACGATTGGATTCCGAGATTGCATCCCTATATGCTTGTTGCGAACAGCACTTTTACAGAACACGGAAATGAGATTTTATTCCAGGTTATTTGGCAGGAGATTAAATTTATTCGGCTCGAGCTGCCGGCCCACTCCAGAAAGTCATGCATTTTGCAAACAGAAACACAGAAACAGCAAAAGCCACTTGCAGTTGATTACATTTACATGATGAGAGAATTAACATTTCAATAATTAATCTGTACTTTGGGAAATTTCATAATTAACGGTACTCTACCGAGCAAGCTTGGAATATCAAATCGCAATAACCTCAGTTTAATTACAACCATGGTGTACATAATTAGCAGCATCGCAGTACCAGATATCACTATATTGGTGTTAAGCACACTTTACCACATGCCGAGATATCCCTTTAACATTAGCACGTGCATTTGGGAAATGGCTTCGGCCCGCCTCGGCTAATGTTGAAGGTATTTGGGAAACGATTCGGCCCTAGGGCTTTTTGATTTTCCCAGACAAAATTTTACTGAATATTCTGAGCGGAAGAACCAATTTCAAAGAAGATATTTACGGATTGCGTGTTCACTAACAGCAACAGCAAAAGTAAGTGACTGCGTGTTTACTTACTTTTGCTGTCAACGTAATTCAACTAAACAAGGTTATCGTTCCAATGCCAATGTATTTATTGCTGCAGAGCATGGTCGGAAATCGGAATAATAATTATTTCTACATAATGCACGCAAAAAAACGATCAATTTAAATGCGTGAAGCATCTTAACGTGCCACAATGAAACATTTGATATTGTTCCAGCTGGGATCCAAGACGCGTTTGATTCAGCGTTTCACCCAATTTTCAGTTTTCCTCACGGTTTCCTCACTCTTGTTGGACTCCATATCTTTATTCTAACTTCTGGCGCTTCACCATCTTCATCCTCAGCTTTTTCAAACCCTAAATAAAGGGGAAGTAGGAATTTCATCTTTCATACTCAACGCAGCCCAATAATGAAAAACACAAAAAATAATCACGGTGACTATAAATATGAACATAGTACTAATATAATATTAACACAATATTAAGATTAAAGTGTAAAATATCAAATGATTATGATATTAACTGTTGCACCGGTACGGCATGTGGTAAATTTCTTCCCAACCTTGGGCTGTGAAAATGCAGTTTTATTCACCTCGGTTTTTTGCTACGGACCTCGTGCCTACCGGCACTCGGTCCTCCGCACAAAAACCTGGGTGAATAAAACGCATTTTCCCAGCCCCGGTCGGGAATATATATTACTGAACGGCTCTGGGAAAGAAAAATGGAAACCGAGGTCTTTAAAAAATTGTAGGCACGAGGCGTAGCCGAGTGCCGGAGATTTTTTGAAGACCGAGGTGTCCATTTTTCTTCCCAGAGCAAGTTCAGTAAGATATTTCCCATACGTCGTTTAATATCTATTCAGAAACTCACAATTTAATTATTGAAATCACCTTTTTTAAGATTTTTATCAAAAAAAACACCAGAACTGTAGGTCATCAACCCGTGCCGGAAAACAGTGCAGGAAAGATCACGTGCAAATGTTTCCCGAACGGCTAGGATAATGCTAAAGGGATATCTCGGCGTATGGGAATATATAATCCTACACGTCCTACACTTTGAAACACGTCCACCAAACTGCTACCGACTGAAGCCGGGTTTACGCCGCTAAAACGATTTGATGAACTCAGGCTAGTTCAGCAGATGTGTGGGATTGCTCGAGATGAACAGCACTTTAGACAAACGGCTCTATTTTCGGTAACGCGTGACTCATTGATCAGAAATCCTTCACTTTAAAGGCTCTGTCAGGGACGGATTGATCGACGCAGCATCAGCAATTGAAATGTAGCTTTTGTAGAAAGGGGCAATTCAACTTATCGGTCTAAGATATTGTATTAGACGTGATTCACGCCGTTTCGAAGATCGTTCGATCAAACATCGATTGGTGCATTTATTTTGCTTGTAGCCAAGGGATAGGTCATTTACTGAGTTTACGATATACCTAGGGCGAATGGGGACGGCTTCCAAATAATTTACGGTTATGGGCTCTAGTAAATATAATGACGCAATAGCCTGTAACTGAAAAGGTCTTTCATGGTCATTTTTTTGTAGTAGCGACTCTTGACCTTTGAAGCGGTTAGTGTAGCAACCACTTCCAAGGTCCTCGACTCACTTCATGTAGTATGAAGTGGCCTTTAATTAAAACGAGCAGCATGAACCTGGCTTTATACGCTCTGTTTGATATGAACCAGCTCTTCAGCATCCTGTCAAGTTTGTTTGTCTCCCGGTAACCCTTTGAAGTCTCGTGAAAAGGAGGAACATTAAATCACGGAAGAGGAAATGGATGCGTTGATCTTTTAGAAGTTGAAGATAAGGCCATAGGGAGAGATGAAAATAGAGTTATTTTGACATATTTCATTCCCTTTATTGTGAACTGTTTTTATATTAGAGAATTAAATTTAGTGAGGTGCCTACGGATACGTGGATAGAAGATAAATGCAGCCACGTTAAACATAACATTTTCTCTGTTTAACTAGTCTCTGTCCATTCAAAAATTCATTTCAACATCCATGGCCATCCTTTCAGCGAAGTTCCGTCCCTACGTCTTACAATTTCCAGTTCGACCCGCTGTAGGAGCCCCTGAACGTAATACCACACACACGTGGATATGAATAGAAGGCTTATCGCTGATGCTGGAAATGCTCCGAGGTGAAACGCAAATGTCGGATTCTTTCTGAAGCATGTGGCGAGATCAACCCAGGGAGACAAGTACCTAAAAGGTTACGGATGGACGGGGATGATAGTTATGATGAATTAGGAAAAATGGGTGATTGAGATTTAAACATGCAATGCGGGATGTAATTTGTGAGGTGAAACTCACAGGTTGTTTCTTCTCTCTCTACTCTTACAAGCATTAATGATGGGAAGAATTAATGAGTTATATTCATATCAAATTACAGATAACTTATTCCTATCTAAGTAGGGGAGAGTGGGGATAACTGGGACGCGGGAGAAGTGGGACACCTTCAATATCTTCGTGGCCGATTGGACAAACAATTTTGTTTTTGCATATTTTCTCATGAATTTAGTCGGGGCACGTCACATCCAAGCGGTTTCCTTTTCCGGTTGCCTGTCTCTGAGATATCGAGTTAGGGTCTAAAATGTGATTTTTAGGCATTTTACTCTAATTCAATTTGCCGCTTATTCAGCGATGTGAAGTGTTCAGGCCGTTCACCTTTGGATATCAGTTAGGTTATCTTAATTATGCAGAAGCATTTTTTATGTATGTTATACTTTTTGTGTGGGAGAGCAGCTGAAATAAAAAGACGACTTGGGGAGGACTGGGACAACGTGCCTAAACCCTGTCCTAGTTCTCCCGCATGCAAATGCATGGGAAAATTTTCCAGGATACTCAGTGCTGTCAGTGTAATTCAAAAAAGATAATCGAGGTGATTTCTTTAAGTGTCAATTTTAAAAACTCCTTCGTGATACTGATGGGTCATCAAATTTTAATTGTATTCCATTTAAATCACATTTCTCGACCAGTCCCAGTTCTCCCCATCATCTGTCCCACTTCTCCTGGACGTGTCCCAGTTCACCCCATTGTCAACCTTTCCTAAAATTTAAATTTTAGAAGTAACACGTGAACAAACACGCATAAAAACAGTAAAGAATGAAGAAGAAATAAACCGTTTACCAGTAAATGCAATCAATTTATTTAAATATTTAATATTCTATTTTTTACGATTTTTCAAAGTTGACGTCAAAATAATGTCCCACTTCTCCCCAGTCTCCCCAGCATAAATGTTTTGCTGTATCGTTAAGCCAATAGCCTATAAACATATCATATCTACTCATATTTCTGAAATGAAATCTCACATCTCACAGGCAGACATGCACATTGCACAGTCATTTCGAATACCGCAAATAAAACAACTGGTGAAAGTAATTGCCCTGCCATATGCAGCTGACAGCAAAGCTCTGTTCTGCGCGTCACTTAATCCGATACCGGAATTTATTATCTTTTTCTACTGTCTTTCTCATCAATGTCACATCATAGCGTGTCTTGTCTAGCACGTATCCCTGGGGATGGCAGTAATGTATATTGGCCTTTCGATAGAAGTTCTCCGTGTTCGACATTTCCTCGGTATATTGGTTGCTTTTATAAGATAATCTCTTATGAGGAGCAGTTTATTGTGAAAGGCAAATAAACCGCATATAGCAACTAAACCCAGTAAGATACCACATGCGTTATCACGCCAGTGCGTGGCAGTTTCATATGATATTTTAAACGTCTAAAATCCCGGGCATAATAAAAAAGCAAACTGAGTGGAAAGAGCCGAAATATCCAGTCGTTTGGTGCTGGCTTATAGACTAACGGAACACTGTTATGCTGTGAATGATTATGTCAGCATAAATCTAGCTTCACTTGTCTCGGCTTTCTTTCCCTCTATCCTTCCTTCGCTTGCTCGTTCCTTTCTCAATTCAATTAGCAATGTTTTTTACCTACTAGGTAGCTATCATGATAAGTGATATTGAATCACCAACAACTTCCCCAGTTATGCCAAGACGTCACCAATTACCTTCATCCCATCCTCATCAGACTCACAACCCTGAACCCTCAGTACCTCTAGTGACATAATTTCACTCTCTCCAAATATTAGCTCACAATCCTACTCCATCCAGTGTCATAACCCCCCCCCCAGCCCCCTCCCACCACCACCCCAATGACGTCATATTTCTCTCTCTTTTCCCCAGATGGTCGCGTACGGCATCGTCTTTTTCGTCTCTCTCATCGGCAATCTCAGCGTCGTGGCCATCTCTGCTGCCAACTCCCACATGCGGAGCGCCATAAATGCCTACCTGGTCAATCTGGCAGCAGCGGATATCTGCATCGTGCTGTTTTGTATGTGGGTACATCTGGTGAATAACTTGAGCGAGCCGATGTTCGTGCTGGGAGCATTCTGGTGCAAGTTTAACGGATTTGCGCAAAGTAAGTGAGATGGGGGGAAGGGAGGGAGGGAGGGAGGTTGGGGAGGGGATGAATGGGAGGGAGATAATAGGGATGAGAGGGAGAGAGAAAGGAAGGAGGAAAGGTAGGGATGGGAGGGGAGGAGGAGGGGAAGTGGGAGAGAGTTGGGGGAGGGAAGTTGGGAAGGGATGGAAGGCAGGGGTAGGAGAGGAGAGAGAGAGGTATGGAAGGGACAGTGTTCAAATGCTGTTACTGTCATACAAAGTACAATTATTCACCGTGGCTTATCAGTCATCATGTATTCAAGGACATTTGACAAATTTTCCATACAAAAAAAAAGACGTCTTTTGAATAATTTCACCAAATCTTAAACATATCACACTCAGCGTATCTGCGTATATGTGTTACCAGCAGTGCTTAAATGTCACCTGCCATGACTGGTGGCCTCGGGATCTGACACCTACGGCCAGATATTTTAATTTTAGCCATCAGGCGTTCTGCGTACACTCCCCTCCCCGCCCCCTCCCCGTGTTCAGCCTGCCTCCCCCAGCGGACGATTGTCAAGTGCCGGTGGTGTGTCGGTGAATGTCTAAATGCTGCACATTTGTGGGTAGATGGAGTTTCACTTGAGGTAGCTGAGCGGAATTCGAGAGTGACAATCAGATATACATAGAACCTGTTTCCGTGGGCATCAATGATTCGGATCAGCCCATTTAAATCGTATCATATTCTCGAACTCTTAGTTACATGATATTATTGCAAGTATTCCAAGTATTATTAGGCTTACATAATCAGTTAACCCCTTATTTTCATTTTCATATACTGTCTAACTATACTGTATTAGCTAATCCATTTTTACTGATCCGGATCAGTGATGCTCATGGAAACGTGGTCATAGTCATTTATAGTGTCATGATACTCAGTCGTAGGCGACACTCAGTACCAGTCCGCGATGAATATTTCCATAGAAAGATTCAAACTACACTAATAGTCGTAACTAACCCATAACTAAACGTGGGATAACGATTCATGAACGGAGGCACTCATAAACCATGCCTACACAGACTAACCAGATCTACCAGTCACCTTCATTCTACTTGTAGAATATGGCGGCATATGCCGCCATATCTCCTAGAATAATCCCCCTCCTCTTTGTTCAGCCAATTCACAACCTCCATTCCGTTCCAATAGTCTTTCCAGTTCGAACGTGTCCACTCGTCAGGTCAAAGTTCCAACAATGGCTTCAAGTCAGAGAAAAATGTTGTGGCGCAGTTCACCTTTTCTAGCGAAATGGTCAGCCCCTTCTGCCAGAATGCTTTTTCTGCACCGTGGAGCGAAAAAATCGCAACCGCGGCGTGTTAGCTGATGTGATTTCGAATCTCTAACGTTCAGTGTTTATTTTACACTTGGCCAGGTGGCGAAGAGGGAATGTTTCTTTTCTGCACGGGTGAAGGTAATTCTGGTGGAAAATAGGAATGCACTGCAATGCGTTCAACAATAGATCGTTTGGGCCGATAATAATAATTTTAGAGTTTATGAGATGATCGTTTACTGCAATATAGAATGGTCGCCCGATAATAATTGCATATAGACTTTACAGTCTTTGCATTCAGTCTTTACCTATACCTATATAACGGAGGATTGAGGACTTGCCTGGAAATCGACAGCAGTTTCAATGTGTTTCCTTACTCATCAACAAAACTTAAGTTTTGCAAAACTTAAGTTTTGTGTGAATTGCTTGCTTAGATATAAGAACGTGTGCCTTGTTAAGGCATACGTTGCTGCGCGATAGGTTGAAAAGATTCCCTGGGCTGTGCTCGGATCAGGCAATCGTGATCACCAGCCCTACAGCTGTGCGAAGTGTAGATCTTCAGTCAAAGATGTAAAACAAGTCGTTACTCTCAAATTCAGCATTGGGACTAGTTGGGGCATTGAGATATTTCATCTCGTTTTCAGTCTGATTCTCACCTTGTTGTGCATTTTTTGTTTGTTTGAACATCCACCACAGCATTGCACTACATACACCGGAGTATATTTCAAATTTATTAAGCAACACCAGGCAAAATTGTGCATGTGAATACACTGACCTGTATAGAAAACGCTGAAATCTAATATCCAGCTTCTTAGAAGACCACTTGGTACGTGCCGCGATTCATTCTTCAGGCGACCGCCATGACCTTCCATGGGTTATTGAGGATGTTACATGAGTCTCCTTTCATTGCGTCTTTGAAGATTCAGGCTTGCCGAAGTGTGTGTGTGTGGGGGGTATTTGACAATGTTCAGCTATTGGAAATGACACGTTGCCTTTGTGCTGGGTTGATGACTGATGATGCTCGATACATGTATATTGCTATTTTTATGTGGGGTGTAAGTTCATTCAGCAACAGAAATTTCATTCATTCCAAAGTTACAATTGTATTGAGCTATTGATTTACTGTTTGTAGCTATCCCAAGCCATTGATCCCGTGTGAATTGTGGTTCAAAATATGTCACTAAAGCATGCACCACCAGTTTAAATGCTGAACGATTGCCCATCAATTTATCCAGTATAAGTTCAGAAGCACATCATCCATTACCACACTGAGGAATGTATTTCATGTGCCAGTTGGCAGTATCTCGGTGTTTATTCAGTCTGGTTTGCAAGGTTTCGACGTCCTCTGTTTTTATTTAATAACGATTTTTTATTTTATTCAATAACGAGATATTTGATCCTGATGTGGACACCTTGGAGCTTGGACCCTGAGGCACTTTGGTCGGTGGCATGACAGTTTGAATAGGCACTCGTGATCACTTGCTTTCGGCTCTCAAACGTGTAAAACTACACTCAATGGAGCAAAACAAGTCGGCCGTAGTACTGGTAGGTACTGGCAAGACGGCCTAATTACTGGTGTGGCTGCAGTCAAGTAGTGTGGTGAATCGCGCACGGGATTTGTAGGAAGGTACACGTTAAACACTCCACTCTGATGCTCTAACATGATATGTATCTAACTCAAAGCAGTGTGGTGTTATGCTGATGATTTTCAACAGGACCGTTATACTATCTCAGCATGCCTTACATATCACCTCGCGGTGTTGCATGAGTCCCAAGTCCCCCAAATCTCTACCTCCCCCAACTCTTCTCTCTCTCTCTCTCTCTCTCTCTCTCTCTCTCTCTCTCTCTCCCTCCCTCCCTCTCTCTCTCTCTCTCTCTCTCTTCCTTCCTCTTCTCTCTCCACCCGACTGACCGTCTTGGTCACCAAAGATCAGATCAGTTGGAATGCGAGCTCAAGCCACGCTCTAAGTGACCTGAACGGGACCCTTGCCAAACATTTGCTCCGTCACGGTCAAATTTGTCGAAGAGCCAGACCGACTTTTTTCTGGTGATTGATCAGTAGTGTCTCGTTCGATAAGGGTCATTTACCGCCTGAACGGTGCTAAACTTAGCCCCTACTGGCGGCACCGGGAGGCGTCTCGTCGCCAAATGGCGCGTGTTCTGATTTGGAAGCGAGTGGAAACAATTGGCTTCGGACGTGGCGGAACTAGCGAGCGAGTCTAATGTGAAAGGAAGAGCTGGATCGCCCGTGGGTGGTATACAAACAACACTGAACAAAGCCCGGTTTACACGGAACGAAATAAAATCACTTTTGTTACGTACTTCACTGAGTGCGTTTCTGGCTCAGTGGAGCGATGATTGTTTATTTTTGGAATGAAAAATGCTCTTTGTTTATCTATCACAAGGGAAATGTAAAATTCGCCATTGTGCCTACTGTTTACACCATTTCAGATGTAAAATCTTGAAAGCCAAGCTACAGGCACGACTAAAAATAAAATCACACCTGTTATACGAGTATGCTTATGAAGACAGCTCTCTCTCTCAAACAATACACAGATCAATGAATCCACGTTCACCGCCAGTTTCAGGACGGAGCTTTATCGTTCCTGCATTTGAAAAAAAAACAGACGCTAAAGGATATGACACGGGACGGGACACAGCGACATGTGCAACTGACCGGATTTCCCACACCCTCCCAAACATTTGCATGCTCCACGTCTAAACCCGGCTTTACTTCGTCCGCAATTCCCAAAGCTATACTCCGCCAGCGGCCATATATCACACGGGCATATAAAGCGCAGTTCACATGACCGAACCACTACTGACCTTGACCTACTTTGGCAGTCATGGCCGGCTGAGTCCAAACGAGATACATGAATATCTGATGGACCGAGACAAATCGAGAGACTGATGCGGGGTGGACTGACTGTCCCAATATGGCCGTCGTTACTCGGGAAGCTGTGTTTGGGGGTGGATTTATGGCGATAAGGCATGGGTTATTTGTTTGTGTGGCAGTTTGGTTTTGTTTACTTATGTGAGTGGAATTGTAATGATAAAAACGACGTTTAGCATCAATGGGGAACCAGAAAGGGATTTTTAATTTTGAAACGTGATCTGTGCACGAATGTCCTAGACCTGAGGAAATGAGAACATGGCTCTTGACTTGCTTGCGGCTGGTACAGTTATAAATTTAACTTTTATTCAGGGGCGCATCCAGGAGCTTCATAGGGTGGAAGCAGTCAGCACAGGGGCGGCACATTTTTCGCCTTCGGGGCGGCACTCACTTCACTACGGAGCGGCACTTCGACTTGAGGCGGCGGCACTCTGACTTCAGGGAGAGAAGCAACATACTCTGAGGGTTAGATATAAATTCAGAGAGTTATTACCAGATATTATTATGAAATTGCTGAAAAGAAACGCCAATTTCCGTAAAGTGCACTCCACCGCCTATCAAAAACAAAATGCCGTATCAAAAAACAAATGCGCCACCTACAACGGCGGAGGGCGGCATTTTTTCTATAGGCAAGGGACTTCGGCTCCCAAAGCCCCCCCCCCTGGTTCCGCGCCTGCTCTTATTCGATATACGTATGTAACTCAGGAAATTATCCGAATTATGGATTTCTGATTGTGAAGATCAAATAATTCAATTTTGCAACTTATAATCTTGTGATCCCTGCATCCAACTAAGAAGGATCAACGCAATATTGCTCAATTACAGGATGCCTAGCTGTCTGAAGAAGATGGGTCGATGACCGAAAACTATTTTTGTAACAGTAATTGATTGCCCTTTCTCTATTATTTTCCCTTTGACTTTCTCTTTGACTTCACTCTGACGTTCCACGAAAAAGCACAAGGAGGTACGCACAGCGATTGATTCTTCAAAGAACACTTAATTCACATAAATGGCAACCCATTCACGTATATAAGCCCTTGATCATCTATTCACAGTCATCTATTCAAGGCCATGATTGCCAATGATTCGATGGTGTGATTTTCCCTAGAAGAACTGCAAACCAATTACCAGAGATTACAAGAAAGCAGTGAAGCATCAATATGATTGGCATAATTGATGATATTGCGATATTTTCAGAACTATGATGACTGATGAAATTCTCAATAAGCTCAGGATCATGTATATGAATGAATATGCAATTATCGCCATTCATCTTATGCCTATTTGTAAGCCGTCGATCCGTCATCGGCTTAGAAACACGAGATGCATGGTGACAAATTCGCTTATCCATTTCTTCAAAATACTTGAGACGAATCGCGGATTGTCGGACTTCTGTCCCCTTGATGTGAAGCTTACATTCAACTTAAGACGGGTACGAAAGTCTTACTGCTAGCATCTTTAACTTTTTCATCTATTTATAGACCGGGGATGCATGAGCTGAGTAAATGTGCATTAAAAACGGATAACAATGATGAGCGAATAGGAAAGTCCGTATTTTTTGCTCATGTATCCCAGGTAAAACATGCATTTTCAGCGCATTTCTTTTACTTCCTAATGACGTCATCTAACCACCGTTCTCCCCTTTTTGTCCCCAGTGACGTCACTAACGGCCTCCGTTCTGACACTGACGGCCATCGCCTGTGATCGCTTCTCCGCCATCATGTTCCCGCTGCGTACACTGCGCATGCGCGGAGTTCATCGCTCGACGGCCATCATTGTTTTGATTTGGCTGGTGTCTGCCGCGGTGGCTCTGCCTCTTCTTCTTTATCGGGACCTCATGGAAGTACAGGTGAGTGCCGGTAGAGATGTCATATAATATAGACATAACTCTTGTTACTATTATAATAAAAGTAACCAACTATTGAATTTTGATATACTCATGATCTAAGGTAATTAGGGCATTGGACATTTAAAATGCATGTTTTGTTTTTATTTTGGTTTCACTTAAGTGTGTTATTATGAGCTAGATTGTGTTCAATTGAGCTCGTTTATCTCGCTGTTCACCAGCCTTGGTTTATTTATTTTGGTACTTGGTCATGCTTTCGGCTGGTGCTTGTTTGATAAAAAATATAAGTTTTGAAATCGAGCTTGTTGGTACAGGTGGTGCCTTTCGTGATGACTTATTCAGGAAAGCCTGTGAAAATCTAGCTAACAATGGCCCCACATCTCTCGGGCCCCACACATTCCAGAAAGGGCTGAGGGTCTTCTTCCTATGTGAGATGAGAGATCACCAGCCATTTCTTTTAGGGGCCACACTGGTTCCCGCTGGCCACAGAGATATTAGTGCTAGTCTGAAATGACACAGCACCGGTCTGAGAGTCCTAATACAGTTTTGGTTTCCACTGATCTCACGGATCTCAACAGGGTCTCGAGCCATGAACTTAACCAAGTTTATGCCGTTTCCATGCTCTAAGATCAAATTAATTACTTCACTGAATCGAAACATCATGCCGAGAAGTTGTTGATCTCACATAACAAGGCTTCTGAACATGAAGTTTAGTTTTAACAGGCTGCATATCTATGAGCGTCGAACAAAGTTTACACATTTGAATTTAACAGCCTTGTCTTTAGCTGTGCAGTGCCGTTGCAGGCTTACGGCTCACCTTAAAAGTTTTCCAAAGTTCATTTTATGCCTCGTTACAGTATTTTATTACGGCTGCTATTGTTATTTACAGTAAATTGTGAAAACAAAAGTCATCGTTCATCTCAGTCATGGAGTCTGCCATATGTTACACGCCGTCATTTTGCTGCTTCTTTATTGGTATTCGTCTTTTGTACATCTTTTAGTTCGGTGCACACAGTGAACAGTCCATTGTAGAATCACGTCGCATCCTGCACCAGAGCCAATCTGGCCCATTGAGATTCCAGTCGCTCTTTGACTCTGGCGCCTGCTCTGTCTATTCACGAGACCCTGGCGACGTCCCATGGCTTAGATTTTGTAAAATGGACAGATTACAGCCTGTTCGAGCTCATGAAGCGAGTCTTCGGTGCCAATGCAAATTGTACATTGTTACATAAGACTCCGTGAGCGCACATATAATTTTTTGCAGAAATTAGAAATAACCATGATGTACGAGCTGTAATAATGTTCTCTCTCTCTCTCTCTCTCTCTCTCTCTCTCTCTCTCTCTCTCTCTCTCTCTCTCTCTCTCTCTCTCTCTCACACTCTCACTCTCACTCTCACTCTCTCTCTCTCTCCATCTCTCTCTCTCTCCATCTCTCTCTCTCTCTCTCTCTCCATCTCTCTCTCTCTCTCTCTCTCTCTCTCTCTCTCTCTCTCTCTCTCTCTCTCTCTCTCGCACACATACACCCAGTACACCCGTCCGCATGCCCCCACATAACTTTGGGGCCAGCACAATCACCCATTGCCCAGACGAACGGTCGATATTCGATCTTTTCGTCAGGCACACGTGGCAGACATCACTTGGCACCTCGCTGTCTAGGCACTGATTAATAGCTCCGTCCGCTAGGTGCAGTTTGGTGAACGCTAGAGACGGCCCCACAAGTGTGGTTTTGGCGAAGAGTAATGGGAGCTGAAGGATGTGCTTATCAGGCTGAACATAACGCGAAACATGTGCATTGATTATGCATATTTTAGGTACGACATTATAGCGTTTGTTAACTTTCTGTAGGGATACTCACTACTTATTCAACCATTTTGATCATTTTTTGGGTGTAATTTGTATCATATGTGCTATGTTGAATCCGTATGCCTCGCTATTCAGTGAATATTGACCAGTGAGTAGTAATGCCACACATCTGTTCTTCGTCTTCTCTCTCCCCTTTTGCTCTGTCTGTCTGTATTTATGTCTGTCTGTCTGTCTGTCTGTCTGTCTGTCTGTCTGTCTGTCTGTCTGTCTGTCTGTCTGTCTGTCTGTCTGTCTGTCTGTCTGTCTGTCTGTCTGTCTGTCTGTCTGTCTGTCTGTCTGTCTGTCTGTCTGTCTGTCTGTCTGTCTGTCTGTCTGTCTGTCTGTCTGTCTGTCTGTCTGTCTGTCTGTCTGTCTGTCTGTCTGTCTGTCTGTCTGTCTGTCTGTCTGTCTGTCTGTCTGTCTGTCTGTCTGTCTGTCTGTCTGTCTGTCTGTCTGTCTGTCTGTCTGTCTGTCTGTCTGTCTGTCTGTCTGTCTGTCTGTCTGTCTGTCTGTCTGTCTGTCTGTCTGTCTGTCTGTCTGTCTGTCTGTCTGTCTGTCTGTCTGTCTGTCTGTCTGTCTGTCTGTCTGTCTGTCTGTCTGTCTGTCTGTCTGTCTGTCTGTCTGTCTGTCTGTCTGTCTGTCTGTCTGTCTGTCTGTCTGTCTGTCTGTCTGTCTGTCTGTCTGTCTGTCTGTCTGTCTGTCTGTCTGTCTGTCTGTCTGTCTGTCTGTCTGTCTGTCTGTCTGTCTGTCTGTCTGTCTGTCTGTCTGTCTGTCTGTCTGTCTGTCTGTCTGTCTGTCTGTCTGTCTGTCTGTCTGTCTGTCTGTCTGTCTGTCTGTCTGTCTGTCTGTCTGTCTGTCTGTCTGTCTGTCTGTCTGTCTGTCTGTCTGTCTGTCTGTCTGTCTGTCTGTCTGTCTGTCTGTCTGTCTGTCTGTCTGTCTGTCTGTCTGTCTGTCTGTCTGTCTGTCTGTCTGTCTGTCTGTCTGTCTGTCTGTCTGTCTGTCTGTCTGTCTGTCTGTCTGTCTGTCTGTCTGTCTGTCTGTCTGTCTGTCTGTCTGTCTGTCTGTCTGTCTGTCTGTCTGTCTGTCTGTCTGTCTGTCTGTCTGTCTGTCTGTCTGTCTGTCTGTCTGTCTGTCTGTCTGTCTGTCTGTCTGTCTGTCTGTCTGTCTGTCTGTCTGTCTGTCTGTCTGTCTGTCTGTCTGTCTGTCTGTCTGTCTGTCTGTCTGTCTGTCTGTCTGTCTGTCTGTCTGTCTGTCTGTCTGTCTGTCTGTCTGTCTGTCTGTCTGTCTGTCTGTCTGTCTGTCTGTCTGTCTGTCTGTCTGTCTGTCTGTCTGTCTCTCTCTCTCTCTCTCTCTCTCTCTCTCTCTCTCTCTCTCTCTCTCTCTCTCTCTTCTCCCTCCCTCCTCCTCTCGAATATCTTTTCCTTCCCCTCTATCTCTCTCCCTCTCTCTCTCTCACTCCTCCTCTCTCTCCGCTCAATTGTCTCAACATCTAATCCCCCTGTTACTAACCCTTCTGAGAGCGTATTGACAATAACGGTACAAGGATTACTGGCAAATGCCCGGGGATTACGGAGAGCGTATTGGGGATATCGGCCAAATGGAACCTGAATTACCATCAGACGGAAATAAGTCTCAAAGGTTCTCCGCTTCACGACAAGGACAGTACTCTCACAAAAAAATACACTTAAAGATCTGAAGAAAAAAATGTTAATGGTATAGTGTTATCACTACAACGAATACCGTGGTTATTTTGTAATAAAAAGAAATGTTTGATGAGTTCATACAAACGTGTACCTAATATTGAAAGTAGGATCCTCGATACTTGCGGGAAGAGTTAGTGATGACCTTTTTGTGGAATCTCTTGTCTCTATTTCATCACTGCATCACTTATTCGAATTTGCCGAACATCTGTGATAGCCTAACATGATGCATAAAATATATTATTTCGAAAGTTTTGCCGAATTCCGACTCTTTTTATGGCATATGTCTTTGTTATTACTTAAAACATATTTTAACAGATTTTAACAGATTATCCACTCTTAGAAAGCTGTGAACAAGGTCTCTAAATGCTTGCATTCTTCAAGGCTGCTCCATCGCTCACAACTGTCCGCCTAGTGTCTACTCTCCACTGACGTCATATCTTTCCACTGACGTCACGCCCCCACGTGTCCCCAGTGGAAGGATGTGGTGGAGGTCACGTGTCAGGACTCGTGGCCGGTGGCGCACGTCTGGGACCCCCTGCTGGGCAGGTGTACGAGGACCCACAAACACAAGATCGCCTACTATACAATGGTGAGTCGAACAAGATCGCCTACTATACAATGGTGAGTCAGTCGTACAAGATCGCCTACTATACAATGGTGAGTCGAACAAGATCGCCTACTATACAATGGTGAGTCGAACAAGATCGCCTACTATACAATGGTGAGTACCGAGTTGACAAACCGAGTTGATCGATTTGTGTGCTTCTTATGTGTTTGTTAGCAGAAGAGGAGAAGAGAAGAGGAGAGATCAGAAGAAGAGGAGAGAATAAAGGGAGAAATGAGAAGGAGAGGGAGGGAAGTATGAAGAGAGAATGAATAAAGAATGAATGAATAAAATATTGAAATATGGAAACCCGATATGTGTGAGGAGTGGGATAAATTAATTCCCACAATTTGCGTTTGAAAAGGATTTATTCACATGCCCACATTACCCTGAATTTGCAAATCATGTTAGAGCACCCAGCTTTCAGATTGTACGAGAGGCGCTCACTCTAAACGACGCATTAGCGACGCCGTCCCGCCCAGAAAGTCCGCTATAGCTGTTCAACACGTGGCGTGGATCACATTAAGATAGCAAAGTCATGCATTAACATAATTGACCAACGCGTATCGCGCAGCATGGTACTACGCAGTGCACAGTGTACCAAAATAGCCATCTCCTGGGCCAAAACTTTCCCCTATGTGTGCTGTAAACCAGTGGATTAAATTTAGCCACACTGTGCCAGGGTTGTATACCAATCAAGTCGATTGAATTGATTGATTTGATTCAACGCGTATTTTGAGTTGATTGGATTGAGTCGATTGACTTTTCGAGATGACTGGTTGACTGACTCGTTTGACTTTAGCGACTGGTTGACTGATTTGATTCCCGAAAATTAGAGTGACTCGTATGATTGAGTCGATTGAATGGAAAGTTGAAATAAGTTTTAGTTGACAAAAAATAATGACACCAATTGATGACATCAAAGATCACAAAACTACACTGAAAACTGCTTGTCATCACAACTGCAATATGGGGTAGATGGCCAAATAAAGAACAGGGCCTAAACATGAACAGCCAACTTTGACTTTCAACTGCAATAACTGCTCCAATCCTGTGATAGAACCTGGCCATGGATGAGATAATACCTGGCGATGCACCTACCTACCTTTCTGCACTCAGCAGGAAACTTTTTTTTTAATCCAGATGATAAAGTGCAAGGCCCTATATACTAATAAAGTGTGATTAATTAATAATTCACACCTCCACATCTCCTCAGAAACAACCCACTGAACTCTATAGATATCTGAAACCCCTACAAAAATAACTGAAACAAAAGCGTCGTTTTCGTCTCGTTAATTACGTTTACGTAAATTAATAGCTAATTTGCTGCATTGTTTAATTTGCAGCAAAACGTTTGTTGATCCTTTTTTCCTGAGAGCCTAAGCATAACATATTTAATATATTTCATTTTCCTTAAAATATTTTACCGAATATTATTAAGTGGTTTTATTTCAAATGAAATAATAATTAAAACGAAATTGGTGTTGTACAACCGATTTATTTTATGATGACCTACCATACTACATGATAATCAATGACGTCATCTTACCAAAAAATCAAAAGACGTAGAATAAGGATTTATAAAAGCATAGCATACTTATCGGCAAAACGTTTTGTCCAACGTTTTCTTTGTTTTTTCGCAGTCGCACCGTGCCGTTTTCTCGCGTTTTAATTTGTACCTACTTCCTTTGTCTTTAACTTATCCTGTGGTTCCAGAGTCCATGTCCTTTCCATTTCCTTTTAAATATATTTTTAATGCTCATCCCTATCCCCCAGTCCTAACAGTTTCAAATTGCATTGCAATAAAATGTTTTGAATTCTTCACACATAACCTATCTACCTTCGTTGGTACTGTTGGTAGCCAGTGACACATCTAGGCAGGTAAGTAGGTACCTACCTGCTTTCCTGCTGTCTTCATAAAGCATACCTAATGAAGTTGTCAAATTTGTAGCACATTTTCAACACTTTCATATGGTGTCAGTGTGGCATGAAACCTAGCTAGGTTCATTATGTTCAGGCCCAGGGTTCAATTCAGAAGAGCTCCGCATAACTCACATAATGATAAGAGACAGACGGGGGCTTTACATGGGGTAGATGGCCTGATGACTTAGCTGGAATATGGTCAAAATTAAATTGACAACTTTTAGGTGAAAGGTGGTGATTTGGGTTAAGGGGCGTTTGTTGAAGTCAACTACTGGGTTATTTTGCACCCATTAAATGAAACTTCTGCTCCAATTCTACCCATTGAACCTCAATATCATGATCCACCTGTCCATCACTATGTATCCTTCCTTATTACATAGAAACTTTGAATGGCATGGCAATTTATAATTTTAAATGACAATATTTTTATGTTTCTTCTGTAGGTAGGTAGGTAGGTAGGTAGGTAGGTAGGTACACCAGACTGCTATGGACACTTTTCCAAGTTGGTGGGGCAAAAAACCTAATGTATATCTTGGTTTGAGTCGTTTGATTGAGTTGATTGATTCCTTTCATTGTCGCGTTTGAGTCGATTGAATCAATTCCCGAAAACTGCTCTGACTTGATTGATTTGATTGGTTTCCCAAATTTGTCGTGATTGAATTGATTGCTATTGATTGAGTCGTATACAACCCTGCACTGTGCTACTTTCTGGTGGATGTCTGTGCGATTGGTCGGAATTTAAAAGCGCGGTTCACGCCGTGCTGTCGCCCAGCCTGTCAATGGTATTCGTCGGGCTAAAGGTCGGCTCACGTGTCGTTGTCACTGGTAGCGTGTTTCGGGGTGGTGATAAAGGTCGCGAGTGGACCGATGAGGATTTGGATTTTGTGGTGGGAGCGGGGTCATGTGAAGGGTTTGGGGCAGGATCAATTGAGAGGCTTGGAAGATGGGTATTTTGCGATATTAATATGCATTTGTTTTCCGATGCGGTATCTATTTAACAATATGGTGGGTAAATAGCCATTATAAGACCCATTACAAACCAATATCCACTGGGAGAACCAATGATCAATCAAAGAAAACGGGATTCTTCAGGCTAGGATACACAGAATTTGTCGTAAATATGTAAAATCTACACGGCCGAATTTCACGGACATTCAGCTGCACCAAAGTCCAAAACACCAGTTATTCAGTATGATGGCGAAGGTAAACATCCCCTAAAACCACTCCCGCGCCGGGAATCGAACCCGGGCCTTCTGGGTGAAAGCCAGATATCCTAGCCACTAGACCACGCGGGATCACGTTAGTAAATGGTAAGTGCAAATTAGTATATACTGCATCGGTTCACTCACTTTTGAAATATACTGGTTATCGGTGCCATCATTTTCCTCACCGAATTAAACAATGGCGGACTACAACGATCGGTGTTGGCAACACACGAAAACCGGCTAAACCAGTTATCACCGGATCCCCGCCCCAACACCACGCTCCCCATCCCTACCACATTTGTCTAGTTCGTTTATTCGTCACCGTATCCAACCATTCATTAGTCACCTTTCCCTCCCCTCATGTTTTCAAGCGCCGTTACGCCGGACATATCGCTGCCCCTCCTCCTCTTCCCCTCCCGCTGTCAGCTCTCCCCCCCCCCCTCGCCCCGCGCCGCTGCTGCCGGCCGATGCTGATGTTTTGTCGAAAAGCGGACCCGTCATGAAGCTACAGTAGGGCAGAAAGTGAGGCATTGAGACAGTGATAGAGTGAGGAAGACAATGAGACACAAACACTGAGACACTGCGGCAGTAAGACGTCTCAGTCAGTCAGAGGTGCTGAGACAGCGAGGCCCATAAAACAGTAAGATACTGAGACATTGAGGAAGTGATACACTGAAACATTAAACTAAAGCACATGACATCAGAACACTGAAAAACCGAAAACTGAACCAAACACTGATCCACTGAATCCCACCATTTTCCGTCTCCCCCAGTGATTGTTCCACGACCTTCATGAGCCACTGAAACAAAAGCAGTAAGACACTGAGCCAGAAATACATTCAGACACAGTCTCTAAGACACAGAGGAACTGAGATAGGTACTCAAATACTGAGATTTTTTTTTTAAATTTAGTGCGAACTTTTTGAATGGAAGGATTCACAAGGACAGAGCCCCCGCTAAGCGAAGCTTGTTGCGTTGGCCCTGCCCTCTACTCTACCCTCCGATCGTGCAATTCCTGTTCTATGGCATAATTTAGAGTCCAAAGTTTAACGTACGCACAAAGCCACGCACGGCCAGAGATACACCTAATGTTCTGATACACCCAGACGCAGAATCCCTGCGTCTTCGTCAGCGATTGTTCGGATTGTTCCACGATCCACCATGTTGTTGTTGGCTGCGGTCCCCGTCATTCTATATTGGTCCAGAACTGCCGCCTGGCCACGCGGGTAGAGCGCTGCCAAGATTGTCGCCAAAACTTGGATCAAGCCGTATTACTGCGGTGGTATTTCGAAGAGTTGAAAGGTGTTAGCGTCGTTTTGATGTGTGGGTAAAATATTGTTAGGAATTACATAATGAGACATGTGTTTGTAGGATCAGCAAGAGAAATGATGTGAAGATATTTGCAAAACTTTAATCTATATTGCTAAGGGCGACTAAAAAGTCTAGGAGTCAAAGTGGCGATTTTTCCTTTCATATCCGCACGTTTGTTTTCGTTCAGGGCTGACGTGCATTTTCAATAAACAATTTCCGCATCTTTTCACAAATATGCATAAAGTTTTTCGACCGTAACAATTACAGATGAGCCGCTGATTTTTAATGAGAACACATTGACACTTACCTTTTTTCCTACTATTTTTCCACACAGAAACCAGAAAAAAAAACAATAATCACATAAGGTGGTTGAAATAACATCAACACTGTGTGTTTGGCAATAATTTGTATCGACCTCAGTTGTTTTCGCTGCAGATCCATGGGTTTTCTTCCCCCAGCAAGACGTGTTATTTTAGAAATCAGTGTAGCGACAGGAATGTTTAATTTATAAACACTAGACGCCGCCTTCGCTGTTTCTCTCGTTTA